CCGCCCTCCCGCGCCCCGCCCCGCCCCGCGCCGCCCAGCCAGCGGCCCCGCCCCAGGAGTGCAGGGCCCTCCCGCGCCCCGCCCCGCCCCGCGCCGCCCAGCCAGCGGCCCCGCCCCAGGAGTGCAGGACCCAGCCGGAGCACGGAAGTCGGCAGAGCCCGCCAGGCCTGGCATCCCGGGCTGGCGGAGCGGCCCCGCGCCCTGTGACCTGCAGTGGGCCGCTGATGACAGGCCTGAGGCTCCCCGCCCTCCCCGGCTCTGACTACCAAAGCAAAGGAGCAACGTGGGTAGCTCTTTGCAAACACACTGCCCCAAATATCGTTTTTTCTTAATCATACTAAACTACACACAGAAAAAAGTTATTAAATTTTAAAAGAAATGTCGAAAGCTAACTTTTCCTCAAACCATAAACCAACCACGAGAGACCCTGGGGCCCGAGGCAGCCAGTGGACCCAGCCTGGGGTCAGGCAGCCGGGCAGCAGGGTCCTGCGCAGTGAAGGCACTTCAGCGTCCCTGAAGAGCTCAGGTGAGTGACTGAAGGTTATGCAGTTAAGTTTCCAAAGAGCTTCCGATGCAGGCCCGGGAGCACGGGCTGCCGTCAGCGGAGATGGAGCTGGTGTTCCTGCTCCCCCAGCGGTTTGACCGTGAAGGCCTCTGAGCCCTCCTTGCTCCTGCACCGAGGGCTCCCAGGTCACCTGCTCAGGTCACCTGCTCCGGAAACCCTGGCGACGCCTTTCACTGTTGGGTGAAATCCTGGGCCTCGCTCCTTTTGGGGATTCAGAGTTTCTTGCTTTGGAAAATGTGAATCTGCTTTTGAACCAGATTTTTCAATTCATTCTTCGGCAACCTAAAGTACAGGTGGTTTAAACTACTCACAGTTTGTACAGTTCAGGCCCTTAGCTACTCGTAGTGTGATTCCCGGAGACCATACCCCGCGGTCCCTGGGAGGTTATTAAACCGCAGAATATCAGCATCAACCCAGACTTCCTCAATCACAATCTTTATTTTAATAAAAACCCTACTGATTCATACATTAAAATATGATCATTAGCAATAATCGCGCCCCGGGTAAACCTCATTGGCTACACAATACTGCCACTGTGCAAACCTTAAAATACAATAATTACTGATTGCATCTTTTTTTTTTTTTTTGGTGGCAGAACCAGGGATTGAACTCAGACCCTTGCACTTGCCAGGGAAGCGCTTATCTCACTGAGCCATCTCCCCGGCCCCTGTATCTTATTTATTTATTTATTTATTTATGTGTGTGTGTGTGTGTGTGTGTGTGTGGCCAGCTCAGCCCACCAGTGGGCGGGGCTGGCTGGCATGTGGTGCTGGGGGATTGAACCGCGGTCCCTGTGCTTTGCTAAGCTTGTTCTAAGTAGGTGCTTTTAGACCACTGAGCCATCTCACCAGCTCATGTATCTTATTTTTTATAAGTTTGGTTATTTATGTTACCTACATATTGCTATAGTATAGCATACTTATCTGCCATAATTTATTATGTTTACTTAATTGAAAATAGATTGACTTTTTAACCTGTTTTAAGCAAAACTATTGTGCTGACTTCGGCAGAGCACATATATTAAGCAAAAATATCCATAGAGTTATACGCTTTATGTACCACTTTGCTTTTCATAGCATATTAAAATACATGAACAACGATTAAAGCAAAAATGCTTGCCTAGCTTAACAGAGTCACTTCTTGATGGCCGACGTTTCGCGGCTACTGCGGCATGATTATGACGCTGAATACATTATCGATCAGGCCCTGGTTCATGTTACAAGCAGCTCCTTTTTTTCATTTTATGTATTTAGTACAGGATCTACAGGGTCTCACTACACAGCTCGGATTGGTAGTGATTCTGCTGTCTTCAGCCTCCCAAGTGCTGGGATTACAGGCGAGCACCCCCACCCCAGTCTCATTCCCTGCCTCAGGCGCGTCCTAGGGGGTGGGACCGGCATGGCAGGCTGGGGATTGAACCCTGGCCCCTGTGTGTGCCTAAACAGGCGCTTTAATCCAATGAGCTATCTGGCCACAGTTCATGTTACAGACAAGAAGGAAATCCGAAAGGAGAGATGTGTCGCCACAGGTCTCAGAACTATTTATGAAAAACAGATCCCAAATCACCAAGTGTTTCCCTTGTGGCTGTTTACTCTTTTGTAGCCCTTCTCTCTAGGCCAGGATGAAAAGGCACTTCTCCTGCCACTTGGATGTCTAATGTTGCTGACCTATTGTCATTGATGACTTTCCTATTGTTTAATCAGGTAATTCTGTTTTCCTTTCCCTACCGGTAGTTGTCATTTGGCAACTGACCACACATTTGGAAACCTTCCCCGAATGCTGGTAACTTCCCCTTCATCAGTATGTGTTTTCCTAAAGTATAATCCAGAAAAGCCTTATCCTGAGATTTCCCCCTAGCGTGACCGAGGCATGTGATTTACCTTGGCTGATGGATATTCCGCACAAGAATGAGACTGAGGTAGGCCATGCGAGGAGCCCACTGCCCGCAGGGAAGTCAGCATTACAAGAAGGCATTTCATTGGTCAGGACTGGCAATAGGAGGCCACCTGACACCTAGTCCTAAACGTGGGAGGTGTGAGCTTTGGTGGCATCTGGCTGTAGCAGGAGAAGCCCCAAGTATCCTGTGCACTGTTCCTGGCTGTGCAACTTCACATTCTTCCCAGATTTTCCTTCAAGCTACTCACTCAAGAAAATTTAAGAAACTCCTTTTGACTTAAACTAGTCTGGGTAGATTCTAGTTGGAACTAACAACTTCAACCAAGGCATCTTAACAGCATAGATTTCTACAGAAATATTTCCATTGCAGTCTGAAGCCTGGCTGCCAATCTATTCTGATTGTTAATTATCTGAGAACTGTTCCAGTAACACAGCTACCTGCGTAGTTACGGAGCACAACTATCTTCATGTTGAGTTCAGGAAGCATCTCTGATTTCTCCAGCCTCATTATCTTCATTATTAATTTACCAAAAATTGCATTTTAAGCACTCGATGTTTTGCAATAACTACTTTGAGTCAGTAGTATCTATTCCACTTAAGAGCTTTGGATCTAAGCTCAGAACTGCATGAAAGTAGGGATACTCTTTATGATCACATTCATTTATTTTGTGAGAATTCACATAGAACAGCTCTGTGGGTGGAAACCATTCTGTAATACAGTGCTGGCACATAGGCTTCAAATTAAATCCTTGTTTTTGAAGACTAACTTTAGGGTATTTATAATAATTTTTAAAATTATTACCAGAATTTTCAGGTTGAATGTGTCCAGAACCAAGAAACGCAGGATGAATTCTAATTGCCAATTATATCTACCACTTGGTCAATTTTCTGAATGGTTTGAAAGAATATCAGTTTACCTGTATGTTATGGTGCATTGTGTAATAAAAGGCTTCGAGTTACCTATCACATATGCCAATAGCCCCAGCTTTTCTCAACAAAGCCGGGGAATGGTATTTTTAAAGAAGATGTTCCTACTAAGGAACTCCAATCTGACATCAAAAAGAAAGACAGGCAGCCAGGTTTTTTCTTTTATAACTCTGTAAGAGTTAAAACCATGAGAAATTGTGCTCACTTCGGCAGTGCATATACTAAGACCATGAGAAGTTGGTGGGGAGCAAGGGGGAGAATTAAACTCTGGTTAATGTGTACAGGAAGCTGCTGAAGGAAGTGAGCCAGAAAAAGCTAGTAAGCAAGCGCAAGGGCAGAGATCAATACTGGGGGTGCACAAGGACAGTGTCACAGAAGGCAAGCAAGTAACTTCAGGCTTGACTTGCTAAGTACTAAAGCCATGACCAAGCAGCTCAGATGCCTGCCTTTCCAGCTGCGTCACTCCACACGCCCAGCTTCTGGAGACAGACAAGGGCTGGAGGGGGGAATCAAAGTCCTTGCAGCCATCCCACCTCAGGAAGGCTGGATGAAAACTTCCTGTGTGGAAAAAGTGATGCGGAAAAGGTTCTGGTTCCTATGACTTTCAAGTCAGGTCTTTTTCAAGAAAAACATTAGGTGTGGTTTTCCACCACACATTTAAACTCCAAAGGTTTAGGTAATAGCCATCCTGGAAAAAAATTTACAAATGACTTCACAAACTATCATTGTGTGTGGGCTTTGCTGAGGAGCCTTCTCATTTTTAGAGGTATAATTTTGGTGTAAGTTAAATAGAGGTCCACATAAGCACAGCATACAATTTTTCCACTTGAGACCATCAGACAACAGAGAAGGACAGGCAAGAGTATTTGCAAGGAGATAGATTTCCCCAGTATCAGGGTTACCAGGTACCAGGCCCAGGGCTCTGCATTTAAATGTTTAATTTTATCTCAATTTTACAACAGCACTGAGCAGTAAGGACTCCTTGTGTGGCCCAATGGGATCAATAAAAGGTGTGGCAAAGGGAAAACGTGAGCCTGGGTCTGTTCAGCTGAGGTGAGACACATCTCCTCCCCGAGAAGCACCTGTGGAGTACAGTAGCAGGAGAGGGCTCATCCGTCAGGCTGAGGTTCATGTTGGTCCCAAATGGAAATGTTTAACATCCTCTATTTAAATCTCACAGATGATCAGCAATTTTGATCCTTTTCTTGGGTGGTGGAATGAAGATTTGAAAAACTCAATAAAACACACTCA